TTTATTACCAATCTGTTAATTATCAAACCCTACCTAGTTAAGCATACAGCTCAAAAAGAAAGCCTCCTGTGCTGGGTAAGCAAGTACTGCAAGTAAGTAAGTAAGTAAGTAAGTAAGTAAGTGTATCATTTTTCAGTTACTGGGGCAGGGGCGAGGAGGTCCAAAAAACAGAAATTCTGCCTCTCTGAAAACCACGTAGTTAGTTATTGAGAATTTGTTATTATGCTGCTATGAAGTGTTCAAACCATGGTAAAGACAGCTATTACAAACAGCTGATCTTTATGTATGGCTTAATCTATCAGCCAAAATAGGAATTTTTAACCTAGATGTTTACAGTTAAATTCAGGAGTAGAAACTGCAAAGGACGGCCGTGGTATAGAACAGAAACTGCTGCAGAGGAATATCTAAGAAAGAGAGGCAAATACCATACCTACCGTGCCCTCCTAATGAAGAGTATGTACCAGTATCACTGCATCTCACTTCATTTGGCACAAGGAAATTAAAAATAAATAAATAAAAATAATTTTTTAAAAAAAGCAAGAAACATAGCATTACCTTTGTATCAAGTGCTTTTTTTATGCTGATCCGTCTCTGAATTCTAGCTTCTCCTCTTTCTATCTGAGCCATGATCTTTTCTATATCTTGAAGTTCATTGCATCTTTCCCAGAACACAGCTAAGGAAAGAGCCACTGGTTAATTTCTTATTGCTTGAAAGTTAGGTTTTTACCTTAAAAAATGTTAGATGTTACTTTCCTGTTACGGCTGTACAAAAATAGGCATGCCTTCGCCTAGTAAGGAATCTTCATTTGCTGAAATCATGTGTTGCACTATTACCAAAACTATTTTGAATAAGTGAAGATATAGAAGTCCTCATTTTAAATCAAGGGTGATACAGGCCAGAAAAGTTTTTGTTAATCTATCTCTTTCTCAGAGAAAAAGCTTCTTAACATGGAAACTGCTATAACAGCAGTACTTTTTTACAGGATGAAGAGGAAAGGTAATGGTAAGTGGCCAAAGACCACAGCAAGTGTCTAAAAAAAAAAACAAGTAGGTGTGTATGCAAGGTTTTTCAAGAGTTGGTTGCAGCTGTATACCCTTAAAATTTTGGACCTAGGACCTTGCAGCTGCTGGACCCTGCAGTGGACGATACCTCTCAAAGACATTAGCTGTAAGTAGGCAACTGACTGATTGTTTTAGGGTGCAAAAAACAATGGTGACTATATTCACTTGCAAAATGTGTGCAGTATCTCATTCTTTAACAAAGGGATAGTAAATGTGTAAAGAAGGATTTAAGGAAACTACTGTTTTTCTAGTGGAAAGAGAAATCTCTCCACCTCATAAGCTTTGTTTCTCAGCATTTTCTTTTGCAAAAATTACCAACAAATAATTGAAGACAGATGTGTCCAGCTAAAACAGATTTAGACTAAAGGTGGACGAATATTAGCTTATATACACATTTCAATACAGCTGTAACTCTGCAGGGGCTAAATATGCAGAAATATAGATAACGCCCAAATCCATTAGTACAGTCCCACCATGAATGTCTTAAAGAGCCATATACGAAAAATAACATTTAGCATGCTCATAGGCATTTCTAACTAGAAAAGACAGCATTAGACACAGATGTGCAGAGCTGACCAGTTAAAAAGAACGTTACCTGAGTATTCAATGACTTCCTCGGGGGTTTTTCCTTCTACTTCTCGTGCTATATTTTCAATATCATCACGGCCCCACTTCTCATTGGCTTTGATGAACTGGTTAAAATCTCTCTTATTCCAGTTAGTGAATCCCTTTACAGCAATCAAAAGCAAACATTGCACAGAAGTTCACGATTTGCCTTCCTCCAAATTTGTTTTTAATAGATTGCTTTGAAGTGCCTGTGGCTAACATTTACAGCATTTAACAATATTAAACCTCCCTTTTTTCTGCAGTTTAATGTTAGTAGGAAAAAAAAAAAAACACCCTTGCTTTTATACTACAGTCAGTCACTGGAGTCTCTCCCTCTAAATACTACATAATAATTAGCACTGGGTCCATACTCCACTCCACTCCACTAGCTAGCTAACTACTACTTTCAGTTAACAGTCTTTATTTCATGAATTAATCCCTTCTACCAATACTCTGAAAAAGAAAATGGATTTTTTTTTTTTTAAAGGAGGGAAAAAAACCCTCAGGAGAAGCAAGTGGTCTCAATTTTTTTTTGCTTCCTCCCTAGTCAGAGAGGACTACCAACTACCTGGCAGTTACTATCAGCCTTCTGCACTTTTCCTGGTCAGCCTCCCTCAGAAGGCCTAAAGGTATCTCGTGATGCTAGTCACTAGGAAACAGAATAGCAGTGCTGAAGTTACCAGCTGCCAAAACAGGCTAATTTCATATTGGCAACAACTTATTTGACTGTATCATTTTTTAATAGGGAATGGTACCAGTGCATTACTACTCAAACACGAGACCTCGCCCTACAATCCACCACAAAAAAAAAAAAAACACCCTAACAAGAAGGTACAGAAATTAACCTGGCTTAAATAAGCTAGCTTTAGATTTAAGTATGTACCTATTCAGTTTATATCCTGTTCAAGAGAGGCACATAATTTATTTGCAGTCATGATCTGGGAAAACCAACCACTCACTCTGCCCTATTCAAGTTGTAGAGGGTGATCAGTTGGCAGAGTTTTAAACGGCAGTTTTAAATGATGTGGAATGTAGCACATCAGCTAGTCTGCAAGGTCCCACAACTGAGAAAAGATGTCAGTGTCTATTCTCCGTGCAAACTTGAGAATCCAGACTCAAAGCTGGGACAGTTCTCACTCACTAGACTTAAAAAATATGTAGGATGCAGATCAGATACACTAGCATCTACAGGCACTAGTTTGGTGGGCATCCTGCAAAGACGTCTAAGCCCATGACAAACCTAATGCTAAATTTCTCTCCATCTCTTTTCACTATGAACTAAAATTTGCAACCACATTAAACATGGCATTTGTGAATCGACGACTAAAGCATATTCCTGTAACACTGTAAAAGACAAAGCAAGCTGAAGATGATTTCAATTTCACTAAAGGCCTGACCATACCTGGGTTAGAAGCTTCTCTTTTTCCTCTAATTCTTCATCATTAAGAGGTTCAGCCTCATCAATCTTAAGCTGCTCTTCCTTTTGTGCTTGGGCTGCATTTGGTAGATCAGGATTACGAGGTACCTGAAAGGTTTTAGATTTTGTAAAATTTGATGAATAAAACAGAGGCTAGTTGTAGCTTCTCAATTAATACAACCTAATCATTTGTTCAGAGCAACGTAATTTTTTTCCATTCAAATCAGTGGGAAAGACTGGGCAAGAACATACTGCCTTACCATTAAACGTTGCAACAAAATGCACTGACACAATGAGTGAATTCTTCTATTACCTTGTAACCAATTGTTTTCCTGTAGTAAAGAATCTCTTTTTCCAATAGTTCAAACAGGCGTGGAGGAAAGAATTGAAAGTCCTGTACATTTGGCTGTTTTGGAGGCCGTGGTGCCTGAAACATATAGAAAGTTTGCGTTTGACTCCCTTTCATGTCCAGAATCTGCTTGCTTGCAATAAATGAATGAGTTCAGTTTGCAAGAGGCAAAAGTTTTGATTTTACAAAAAATGCACTGTCCTTACTAAAACAGTCAACACTAAAACACCAGGCAAGTGACTGAACTACAACCACCAAGACCAAGTTTAGAAGTAAAGGAGAGAAGGTAATGTAGGGAGAGGAGGCTGAGGGTGGAGGGGAGGGGAGCAAAGCTCAGCTGTCCGAGTAGCCATAAGGAAATGCCATAGGTAAGGAAAATCCACCACTGCTGCTGCTTAAGCAAAAATAAAATGTAAAAACAAAATAAGAAACATCCTGGTCTTTACCCACTTTGCTTTACTAATGTTCTTACATTACCTGATTACAGTTTCATTCCACTCCTCTTAATTTTTCCTCACAGAAGTTTATCTTAAGCCCTTTGGATCTTTCTGAATTTAAGTCCTTCAAGTGCCTCCCCCATTTATAAAAAGTGAATCGAGTACTTTTTATGAATTAACAGCAATTTCTTGCTTTCAGCTGTAACCATTTCTTATCCACATTTGAATGATTTAACTAGTCAACTCACCTTGGGTGCTTTTGGCTCACTGACTCGAAGAGCCTCTCTGAAGTATGCATCCACAGCATAATTGGCTTTTCTTTCTCGTTTAGGTGGTTCAATCCACTCTGTAAATGCAATCTACAAAACCAAGTCGTCGTCCCCCCCCCAACAAATATTAAGACTAAGTCTTAAAAAATATTCATATCAGCTTTGAGTTTTACATAAAATTAGGCATATAGCTGCTTTATATTCTGAAGCTGTAATTAAACTTATGAAGTATTTTTGTATGTTATACTGTACTTTAACCAATACATGTTTTAAATAAAATATGTTTAAATTTGTTTTAGAGGAAAGCACTGATCTGTAAGTTTGACCAATACCTTCTGTTTTTCTCTGTAGTCTTCCCCTTCAAAATTATATACGCTGGATTCTGTATCCATTGTGAAATTTCTGAGTGAGCTTTCACCCATCTTTGAGAGTTTTTCATTCATTTCTGCAGTCTGGGGCGGGAGGGGAGAACAGTAACAATTTTAAAAGATACTTCATTATAAGATTTCTGTTATAACAATAGAAAAAACAAAGGTGTTTGAGCAATATGAAACTCCTCTAACAAAACCCATAGGCCTCCACCTTATATTGAAGTTACCAGTTAGGGAGATATACTATGTCACCTTTTTTTTTTTTTTTCTCTTTTTTAAACTTTCTCTCACCTTCTTTGCACCTCTTTCCAAAATGTGATCAATATCTTCATCTGTAATCTCACTCTCCTTTGAGGCAAACACATGCGTTGCTCCATGTCTGATCATTTGCAGCATCTCATCCTTTCCAAGTTTATTCAGGTTTTGATCCACCAGTCTTCCTGAAGATAAAAGCATTGGAAGATGTGAGGCTTTCTGTATGAGCTTTATGTTAAGGTGTATGTTTCAACAACTTCAGGACCAAACATTCTTGTTAACATGACACTAAAATGTAATACTTTTACAGAAATAAAGTTACTGATTCCATCTAAAAGAACCAAGAGGGTTACATTGTCATCATTTCTCCCCATTTATTATTAAAAAACAGAAAAAAGCATTTATTTCTCCATTTCAGAGTAGAAGTTGGGCACTCCTTAAAAAAATGTTTTAACTAGACCCACTTGTACGTATGTATCACCAGGGAAGTAATCAAAAAGTTAATGACAGAAACCTATCCTTTTTGAAAAGCAAATTTCCAAGCAGATCAGGACTCTGCACTCTACCTTCAGAATATCACTGGGACAGAAGCAACATTCCCATTAACTCTGAACTAGATGATTTCTCCATAGTTCACAAGTTATGAAAAAAGAAAAGAAACACATTATATATACAAATAGGAAAATTGCCTTCATATACTTGCCTTGCTGAATGACTATGGAATCTAGCCGGAGTTTCATTTCTGCACGTTCCACTATTCTTTCTTCTACTGTATTGTCTGTGATAAATCTGAACACTCTAACAGTCTTGGTTTGGCCAATTCTGTGTGCTCGATCCTAGGCAAAAAACATGTAACACAAATTAACGCTTGCTTTCCAGCACATATGAATAGTTAATCTTCAATTTTTGTTAGTTTCAACATACCGATTTGTAAAACAGAATAGCATAGGTTAGTTAAATCTTTACAGAAATCCAGTTAACATGACTACCCAAGTTACCCTGTTCTTATTTGCTTTTCAAGTTTGTTTTTTTTCCAAATGACATCAACAATGAGTGTCACTCTAGATGTCAAACCTAAAAATAGTTGGTTTTTGTTTTTTGTTTTTGTTTTTAAACTCAGGTATCACACAGGGGAGAAGACTGGATGCTTCTAGCCTTATCTAACCTCCTGTAAAATCAAAATATTTAACCAATTATCTCAGTACTGACCAAAAGCTATCATTCTCAAAAATCCTTCAGTCTTGCTACAAATATTGCAAGAAATATACAATACACCACCTCATCTGACTGGAAAATGATTAACCATTGTGAGGATTAGTATTCTGAACATACACCTTTAGTGGTAACTGGATACACCTGTAGTGGTAACTGGAACTATCTGGCTTCAGCTTCCAGTCCCTGGTTCCATCATTCTTGTAAATTAATTTTAGCTAGAATACTTGAGAATACTGCAGCTTAACTGAAATGATTAAAAAAGAAATTTGCAAGATTTGTCACCGAAAGGCCTCAGATGCCAATAAATACTGGCAGTTTTTAAGTGACACTTATCTTGTGTGGTCAGTAGTGTTCTTGACATGTCCCAAGGTCAGAGAGGCATGCAAATCTACTGCAAAAAAACTAATGATGATTGCTAAAAGGAGCTGATTCACTTATCACACCTTAAAAGCAGTTTTTGAACTTGGAGTTTTTACGTTCAGCTTTTCTTTGTCTCCTTTCCAAGTGTCAGTGAAGACAGTGTACATGCAGTCACCTCCACACCGAAGTAAAGCTTTATACTTTTGGGATAAATACATATCATGCTAGAGTTTGTTTTAAAAAACAAAAAAGGTTACTTTAATTAAACACTCCTAACAGTACCATAGCATATACCACAGCGTTTCCCCCTGCTGAAATCATTTTATAGCCCAAAGGTGACTAAGTACTCCTCAAAGTGAAAGCTGCAATGGAGCTGAAAATCAGTCTTACAAATACTACTCCTGTGCTAAAACAGGAAAAATATCAACTCGCTGTGGAAATACTACATTATGCCACACGTACGTTTATAGGAAAGTTGTGTGAAAAAGTAAAGAAAGAAAGGACAACTTTTCCATCTGAATTCTTACCATAGCCTGAAGATCTACTTGTGGATTCCAGTCTGAATCATACAGAATTACAACATCAGCAGTAGCCAAATTGATTCCAAGACCTCCAGCCCGTGTACTCAACATGAACACAAACTTTGAGCTACCAGGTTCATTATATGCATTAATAGAAGCCTATATAAATAAAAAAGAACATGTCAGTTGAACCAAACATTTTATCAATACTGTTTTTACTTGAGTAAAATACTTAAGAGTTGTAGATACCTGTCTCTCATCATGAGGCGTTTGTCCATCCAGCCTACAATATTCATAATTTCGCCACATACAATAATCTTCCAAGATGTCTAAGACTCTGGTCATCTGACTGAAGATTAAGACTCTTGAACCTTTTGGGGGTAAAAAGCTTTTTATGTTTGCACCAAAGCTTAAGACTTATTGAACGCTATGAATTTGCCTAATCAAAAAGGGAAAGCAGGCAGTTGCATGTTACTATCAACAAGGGCAGTTATAAATGAAAGGACTCATTTAAATAACATAATGATGATGACTTTTCAGGAATATAGACACAGAACAACAAATGTAGAAAAACTGTGTTATTTTTATTGACCAAGCATTAGCATGTGAAAGAAGCTGGAACTTCAAATGTTTCTACGAATAGCAGAATCACATATAGAATGCAGGGCTGTAGATGCTGCTACTAAGTACCGTAATGAATATTCAGTATTTCATATATAGGCATTTCCATATTCTTTAAATACAACTTACACTTATTGTGCAAAGGAAACTTCCTTGGGAAAAAGTGGCATAGGAGAAGAAATTTCTCTTCCAGATATAAAAATATCAAAGAGTAAAAAAAATAAAATTTTTAAGCATTTGTGTTGGAATTAGCGTATCTAGAAATAAAGTTGTTCTCAAAGTCAATTTACTTACCTGCCAAGAACATTCAAAAATGTAAATGTAAAGTAATTTATGCAAATAGACACAACTACTTCTGACCTACATGAGAGATTTAACTACAAGACCAAATATCACAAAGCTTCCACTTCCCTTTACATCCTCCTAGTTATGATTTCTAACCATTACATTAAACAACTCTCAAAAGAAAAAGTGATGTATACCTTGTTCTTTCAACTTAGGTAGTAGTTTGTCCAGCACTACCATTTTGCCACTGTTGGTGACCAAATGCATATCTGTTGTGTAAGGTGGACCAGGTTCTGCTCCATCAAAGAGATACGGATGATTGCAACATTTTCGCAGTTGCATAAGGATATTCAACAGCCTCATTTTGTCCAGCTTCCCAGCAGAATTCAATATATCTATATCCTTCATTAAGATTCGTGTATACCTGTATCAAAGAAAAAAACCCTCTGTAACTAGAAAACAAAGTTGTCTCTTCCTTAAATAATAAGGCATAGGTCAAAAGCGTATTCTCTCTCATTGCACAAGCTAATAATTCTCACTGATGTGTAGTTTTGTCACGATAAAAGCGTCACAAGGATATACCTTATGAGTTGGGAGGAATTTAGTATGTTAGAAGGCATTAAATTAAGTTTTACACGATAACCGAGGCTAAAGCAGCACATTCCTCCTGAGCTTTAACCACAGCACAGTCAAGCATCTGAATTACCATTCTCGTTGCATTTTGCTGAGACCCACATAAATTTTAACTTCCTTCTTTGGAGGCAAGCTTTTCTCTACATCAGCTTTAATGCGACGTAAAAGGAATGGTCGTAGCACCTGAAATAAATTGCATCTTTAAATGTATTTTGGAAAATGAAATACTGAATATGTCAATAGACAGAAGCAGTGCAGATATTCTCTCTTCTAAATGCTCCAACTCCACAGCTATTACCTGATCCAGATCATCTGAAAAAACTATCTGTGTAGACAGATTATTATACAAAGGAATAAACATGAGGTGTCTTGGAAGACTCAAAGATTAGGCCAGGATCATCTTTCAGGTGGTTCTGTACCTC